AATCTATAAAGAACTTAAATTTACAAGAAAAAAAATACCTCATCAAAAGTGAGCAAAGGATATGAACAGACACTTCTCAAAAGACAACATTTATGTAGCCAACAAACATCTGAAAAAAAGCTCATCATCACTGGTCATTAGAGAAATGTAAATCAGAACCATGATGAGATACTATTTCACACCAGTTAGAATGGCAATCATTAAAAAGTCAGGAAACAACAGATGCTGGAGAGGATGTAGGTGGGAGTGTAAATTAATGCAATTGCTGTGGAAAACAGGGTGGCAATTCCTCAGGGATCTAGAACCAGAAATACCATTTGACCCAGCAATCCCATTACTGGGTATATACCCAAAGGATTATAAATCATTCTACTAGAAAGACATATGCACACGTATGTTTACTGCAGCACTGTTCACAAGAGCAAAGTCTTGGAAGCAACCCAAATGCTCATCAATGATAGATTTGGTAAAGAAAATGTGGCACATATGCACCATGGAATACTACACGGCCATAAAAAATAATGAGTTTGTGTCATTTGCAGGGACATGGATGAAGCTGGAAACCATCATTTTCAGCAAACTAACACAGGAACAGAAACGAACCACCACATGTTCTCATTCATAAGTGGCAATTTAACAATGAGAACACATGGACATAGGGAGGGGAACATCATACACTGGGGCCAGTCAAGGGGTAGGGGGCTGGGGAAGGAATAGCATTAGGAGAAATATCCAATGTAGATAATGGGTTGATGGGTGCAGCAAACCACCATAGCACATGTATACCTCTGTAACAAATCTGCATGTTCTGCACATGTATCCCAGAATATATACTTAAAAAAAGAAAAAAAAAAAAGAATGAGTTCATGTCCTTTGCAGGGACATGGATGAAGGTAGAAATCATGATCCTCAGCAAACTAACAAAGGGACAGAAAACCACACACTGCACGTTCTCACTCCTAAGTGGGAGTTGAACAATGAGAACACATGAACACAGGGAGAGGAACATCACCTGAGCCTGTTGGGGGTTGGGGGGACGGGGAGGGAGAACATTAGAACAAATATCTAATGTATGTGGGGCTTAAAACCTAGATGACGAGTTAATAGGTGCAGCAAACCATCATGGCATCTGTATGCCTATGTAACAAACCTGCACGTTCAGCACATGTATCCCAGAACTTAAAGTAAAATGAAAAAGAAAATAATTTTTCTACAGATTAATTTGAATGCCATTTTGTTCCTACCAGGAACTTGATGGGAATCAGAGGTTCCTGGATATTTATAAACCATCTAGTTACTTTAGAATAATAAACCATATTGTATTAATCCGTTAAAAAATTTCTCAACAATACTGGCAAACCAAATCCAACAAAATATAAAATTATATTATTACCAAATGAGATTTATGTCAGGAATAGAAAATTGACTCAACATATAAAAATCAAATAATGCCATACACCTAAATCTGATAAAGGACATCTGTGAATAACCCACAGCTAATGCCATACTTAATACTGAAAAACTAAAACGTTTTCCCCTGAGATTAGGAAAACCCAAGAATGTCCACTCTTGTCACTTCTATTCGACATTGTACTTGAAGATCTTATCAGGGAAACCAGGCAAGGGAAAAAAAGACCATTTAAATTAGAAAGGAAAAACGAAAACTATCTTTATTCATAGATAACAAAGTTTCATATGTGCATATATATATATTCTTTAAAATAAAAATAAAAACAGAGCTAATAGTGATTTCAGCAAGGTTGCAAGATATTCATAGAAAAAAGTCAATAGAAATGTCCATATTTAAAATCAGTTGTGTTTCTACACACTAACAATGAACAATCCAAATATAAAGAAAATCCATGTTATTTACTGTAGCATCAAAAGAATACTTAGAAATAAATTTAACCATATACATGCAAGATTTGTACACTGAAAACTACAAAATATTGTTGAAAGAAATCAAAGACAACCTAAATAAATGGAAAAATATTCTATGTTCTTAGATCGGAAAAGTTAATACAGCAATTCTCCCCAAATTTATCCACAAATTTAATGCAACAGCTATCAAAATTCTAGTGGACTTTGGCACAAAAAACAGTAGTGCTGATCCTAAAATTTATATGAAAATACAAGACAATTTTAAAAGGAACAAAAGTCAAGGACTCACACTTTCCAATTTCAAAACATACTACACAGCTGCAGTAAATCAAGGCAGTGTGGCTAGCATAAGGACAGACATATAGATGAAAGGAATAGAATTGAGAACGGATTAATAAATCATATATCCATGGTAGATTGATTTTCAACAAGGGTTTCAAGACTATTCAATGGGAAACAATAGTTTTTTCCACAAATGTTACTAGGACAATTGGATAGTCACATGCAAAAGAATTAAATTAGACCCCTAACTCCCACCAAATAAAAAAATAAATCAATCAAAATAAATCAAATACCTCAGTTTAAGAGCTGAAACTATAAAACTATTAAAGGATTACATAGTTGTGAATCTTCATGCCCTTGGATTAGGCAGTGGTTTCTTAAATGACACCAAATGGGCAAGCTACAAAATATATAGAGATAAACAACTTCATCAAAATTAAAACCTTTTGTGCTTCAAAGAACACCATTTAAAAATGTAAAGACAACCCACAGAATGGAGAAAATAGATGCAAATCACATATCTGGTTAGGGTCTAATATTTAGCTAATACAAAGAGCTCTGAAAACTCAACAATAATAAAACAAATAACTTCATTTTAAAATGGGCAAAAGATTTAAATAGACATTTCTCTAAAGAAGACATACAATGGCTGGGCGCCGTGGCTCAAGCCTGTAATCCCAGCACTTTGGGAGGCCGAGGCAGGTGGATCACGAGGTCAAGATATCGAGACCATCCTGGTCAACATGGTGAAACCCCGTCTCTACTAAAGATACAAAAAATTAGCTGGGCATGGTGGCGCGTGCCTATAATCCCAGCTATTCAGGAGGCTGAGGCAGGAGAATTGCCTGAACCCAGGAGGCGGAGGTTGCGGTGAGCCGAGATCACGCCATTGCACTCCAGCCTGGGTAACAAGAGCAAAACTCCGTCTCAAAAAAAAAAGAAGACATACAAATGGCCTACAAGGACATAAAAAGATTCTCAATATCATAGCCACCAGGAAAATCCAAATGTAAATCCACAATGAGATCCCACTTTATACCTACTATAATGGCGATAATCAGAAGAAAAAAAAGACAGAAGTTTGGGAAAAGATGTGGAGAAATAGTAATCCTCACACATCGCTGGTGGGAGTGTAAAATTGTGCAGTCACTTTGAAAAACACTTTGGCATTTCCTCAAAAATGAAACATAGGGTTACTGTATGATCCAGTAATTCCATACCTAGGTACCTATCCAAAAGAAATGGAAACATATGTTTCTACAAAAACCTGTACACAAATACTCACAGAAGCATTTAAACATTTAACAGCTACAAGGTGAAAACAATCTAAACGTCCATTAACTGATCATGTATAAAATGTAGTATATTCATGTGAAATTATTCAGCCATAAAAAATACTGATACATGCTATAACATGGATAAACCTTGAAAATATTATGCTAAATTAAAGGCAGACACAAAAGCCATGTATTACATGATAGCATTTATATGAAATCTCCAGAACAGACAAATCCATAAACACAGAAAAGTAGAGTATTTGCTAAGGGCTGGGGGAAGGCAGGAACAGAGAGAGGCTGCTTATGAGTGTTTTTTGGGGGTGAAGAAAATATTTTGGAACTAGATAATCGTGATAGTTGCACAATTTTATGAATATACTGAAAACCATTTACTTTAAAATGGTGAACTGAATGGTAAGTGAATTACATATTAGTAAGTTTTTAACAAGACCTTACAGAAACCAATAGTAAAAATGTATCATAAATCTGGGAGTGAAACTCCAACCTATGTGCCTGGAGGATGGGGAGAAATATTAATGAAACAGTTTTGGCAAACATGGAGGGAAAAGGTGTTTCACTTTTTTAAACATCTTACATTACTTGCTGGTATTAACTGGCACATTTATTTAAGAAATTTGGCAGTTTGTATCAAAAAAAGATCAAGCACATATTCTGTGATCCAGGATTTTCACTGTTGGAACTCTAATATCAATGTGTGGCTGGCATAGTTGGCACTCAGTGATGTTCTTTCCTATTATAGAGGTGATAACCATAAGGAGAGATAATAAATTATGCACTTAATTCCTGCAGCCAAATTCAGCTCTTCTGCTTTTTACAAAAATAAGAAAATGTTCACACTATAACGTACTATGACCATGAAATTTCTGTTCCTTTAATCTTCGCAAGCTGCATAAATTGGAAAGTGAAATTTTTCTGTAAAATATAGGGTCTTGTTTCTAAGGATCCTGAGCATATACTAGCAGAACAGTGAAAGATTTCATGTAGAGTTCCAGTCTCTTTTTAAAAGGCATGTAGTGGGGTGGGAATAGGGTGGGGGAAAAGTGAGCAAGCTTGAGCCTCACCCAAACACCATGAAGCTACAAAAAGCCAAGAAATATTCAGATTGGCTTATGTATAAAGCTTCATGAAAATGAGCAGTGACTATGCATTGATTGATAAAATCAATTACTACTGAAAGAAGTCCCTAAAGTGAATCTATGTGTTTTTTAACTCTCTCCTAATGGTGATATCTCTTTAAATATCGCATTGCTATTATCTGGGGGATATATAATTCCTTTGTTCAAATAGAATTCTATCAGTTCCTCTAACATGAAGAAAACCATGTTATTCTACTTTGTACCCAAGCCTTTCAGTCTATGAAGACATAATATGAAGTCAACTTGCCCAAATTGCAGGCAGAACACCAAACAAGGAGAAACAGCTTCCGAAATCTCCATTTTCCAAAAGCTGACAAATGACAACTGAACTTCCGGAAGGCTCACTGCATCACCACTCCTCTACAGCTGGTTCCATGGAAGCATGGAGAGCCCATCAACATACCTGCTACACCCACAAGGCCGCATCCTCCTACCCACCCAGCATGGTAGAGAGAGAGGGATTGTGACATAAGCAAATACCCTCAGGCTGATATATGTAAATGCCAGCCTATGAGCTTCCTGGTAGGGACACCAACAGTGAACGCCTCATAACAGCCAACTTCTTGCAACTCCCAAGCTGACGGCCTCACAAGGGGGAGGAGAGACTCCTCTACTGGAGAACTGATAGCAGTATTCTGGTAGAGGGGGCATCAAAAATCCTAGCGGGGCAGTGTTAATCATGTAGGCACCATGGAAACTGCTATGTGTGTTTGCTGTCCATGTTGTACATGGCAGCGATGTTGTCCTCGGTTATGCTCCTGTCTATGCTGCAAGTTCATCTTTACCTCAGAGCGGAACTGCACCTGCTTCCCCTGCCCTTACAAAGATGAGCAGAACTGCCAGTTCTGCCACTGCACCTGTGCTGAGAACCCCAACTGCCATTGGTGTTGCTGTTCTTGGGCCAATGATCCCAACTGTAAGTGCTGCTGCACAGCCAGCAGCAACGTCAAGTGCTACTACTATGAGAGCCGCTGCTGCCGTAATATCACCGTGACTTTCCACAAGGGCCGCCTCAAGAGCATCCATACCTTGTAAGTGCCAGGCACCAGATGTGCAGCCACATTGGCTCAGGAAAACTAGGGACCCCTTGCTAGCTGTGAAGTCCACAGGGCAGGCCAGTGCCCCTCTGTGTTTATTTATCTAAAAAAAAGGAGCCAAGAATTTTGTAGCAATTAACTGTATCATATATGGTCACTATGTATGTAGACCATGAGCTCCAATCTAAGCATCATCGACTAGAGCACTTCACTCTTCTGAACCCTCTCTCATCTGTACAAAATAGTAATAGCTAATACTTGGTGTTTACACAATTTTCCAGGCATTTCATGCATAACCCAAAGTCCACTGTTCTCATGAGGAAACTGAGCATTTGAGAAGTTTCCTTCTCAAAGGAAACTTTGAGAAGAAGTTGCCCCAGGATGACACAGCTGGAAAGATTCAGAGTCAGAATTGGAACCTAAAATTTGTGATCTTAACTCTAGAATGCTGTATTGCAAAACAGAGACAAGACCCCCCCACCCCCATGATATTGTAGATATAAGAATTAATGTATATTCTTTATAATCTGCATGTTATAGAAAAATAAAAAGTGCTCATTTTCTTCCTATTAACTCTAAATACCTGCAACATTTATTGGAAAAGTAAGACCTTCTATGGGGCACTTTTGACCCTGAGAGCCATTTAAGTACCCCAGACATCCAGGAACTCCAACTGCCTTCTCTTTTTCTCATCCAGAAGTCACGGAACTTGGGGTCTCAATTATTCATTTGGAGTACTAATCCTCCATATCAGGTCTTACATTATCCTCACCTGCTCTGCCAAACAAGCCTTTTTATGTCACACATGAGGGGAGTCTGAAGTACTAAGAGCACACTTCTTAGAAAAGATGACAGCACTATAAGATGACAGGATTAGAAGAAGCAGAAAAATGGCAGGCCAGTTTGAAAGCTTTCAAGCCTGGAAAAGCAATTCTGCAAGCAGAAGTTTAGTGAACTTAGGGGAAAGATATTATCCATCTTGCCATTAAATCTTTAGTAGCTCCTTAACACCCATAACTCTCCACCTATGGCCCTCTCATAGTATCTGCATAAATAGGAAATCCAGGGATTCTCAGTCCAAGTCTAGAAATACTAAAGTGTGGGAAATAGTGTCCACATTCCTCTCTCAACTACCTAATTCTCTGTGCAACAGCAACTGAGCCTCTGAGCCCATTTCAACAGGAAAAAGATAAAATTGGTCTTTAGGAAAATGCCTCAGGCATCAGTTGCTCCCTAACGTTATTGTGCATTGAAGTCACTTGGGGATCTTTAAAAATTACTGATGCCCGATATCCACCCCAGAAACATTCTGATTGTATTGGTCTGGGGTACCACCTGAGCATCTGAATTAATGAGCATCGCCCCTTCAGGTGATTCTAATGTGCAGAATGGCCTGCAGGTGCAAAGGAGGGAAGCCAGGAGATTTGACAGGTGATACAGTAAGAATCCAGGTGCAAGAACAGGCCTGATTTTGGGAGAGAGGGGAGGCTGTGCAGAGGAGCAGAGGCAGGCTATCTCAGCAAGAAGATAAAGCACTGGTCTTGATGCTGCTTTGGAATGGAACCATGGCCACTGAATGCCCTGACCAAGCCTGAGGTTTGTGGAGGATGCGCAGGGATGCTAACGCATGTGTCAGGAGGTTGGCTCTGGGTGCTTGTCTTCAATCTGGCCTCTCTTCTGGCTTCTGACTCTTGGCCTCCTCTGCTTCTCATCACCACTTTCTGCTCAGCACCTTGCTTGTTCTGCCTCACTCTGGTCTCATTCATCCCTCTCTACCTTACTCTTTTTCACCTCTACCACAGCTCCCTAGGCCATTAATACCTGTCTCTTAGCCCTGAGCCCTCTTTCTCGTCCTCCAACATCTCCCTCCCTACTTCTTATTTATGAAAATTCTAGCTCATGAGCTTCCTAGTAGGAGTACCACCTGTGAAGGACTCACAACAGCCTCTTTATATTATACCTTGATTCTCAAGGCCTTTTTTTTTTTTAGCAAACTAAAGACCTGTACCTCCAGGTGATCCCTTCGGGACACAAGCAGGAGTCTGGGAAAGCAGAGAGGAAACAGAACTGAGAACATTGAGGCCAGCATGCCTAGAGCTCCCAGATCCCTAAAGGACAAATTTTTCAGGTGCCTTAGTCTACACAGGGAGCATTCTCTGTCGCCACATGGCCACTCCATTCCAATATGCTTGGGAAGTATCTGTGACTGTGGACTCAGACATAGGTCCCTGGCCAAGGGAGGGGGGAAGAAGAGAGGGACACATAAGGAATGCAAGACAACAAAAGCAGAAAGGAACACAGCCACAATGGCAAGATTACTACCCAAATATTATCCAAACAGAGGAGATAGCAACAGTGGCAAATTGTGTGCCTATTTATACCTGCATCCCCACAAATAATTCGTTTTTATACACTGCATTTGCCAACTGTAAGTTCTTAGAACACGCCCTTCAATTTTACAAGTATACTTTTACTCCATCCATAGTTCTTACAATATATGAAATCATCCTCAGGCGTTAGACAAATGGAGAGCCTTAACACACACAAATGAAACAGTAGACACATACTTTTCACAGACTTGGCCACTATTTTCCTTTACTGTGATTTCTCTCTACTGCAGACCGTAGCTGGCTAGTAGCAAAGGGGAGTAATTATAGTGGCCACATTTACTGAAAGCTTACTATGTGCCAGCAGTTAAGCACTTATCATGCATTGTCTCATTTAGACTTCATAAAAACCTCACAAAGCAAGTCGTACTGTGAGCTTTGATATATAGTTGAGAAAACTGAACATGAGAGAGGTTTAAGAAAACATCTCAGAGGTCCAGCTGTAAAGTGGTGCATTCTAGCTCATGCATTCTGCCTCTGAAGCCGAGATCCAATACCATTACCTATTGGTCTGGTTGACAGATCACACAGGTTCTAGGCTTGTCTCAGGTACAGACTTGCTCTATGTTCCATCTATGTACATAAATGTCAATATCCTCCAGGAAAAAAACCACTAAGAACACGCCTGTAGTTAGACAAGATTGGATTGACTGACTGATTGCAGCAAATGAGAACATAAAGCATGAGTAAGGGTAAGGTACCTGGAAAAGTTATTACAGGATTTGTGCTCATGTTAGGTAAGGACCCAGGGGTAAATCTATTGAACATCTTAATAAATCTTATCCAGAAGGTGGGAAGAACAGAGTGACTCGAAAGTTGTTTTAAAAAAAATCAACCAGGATTTTTGGTTAAAAAAAAAACCAACCAGGATAGAGGGACATTGGGTTGCTTTTATGATGTAGACAATGTTCTTGTCTGAGTCCAAACATTAAGAAGTGGTCTTGTCTCTGCTTTGATCCATCAAAATCACAAAGTGGCCTTGTCGGATATTGTGTTTTTTGATATTACTGATGTCCAGCCGAACACCAAGACCTATCTGACAGCACCAGGCCAGTCTCTGCTGCTTCTCCCTGGCTTTATATCAACAAGCAGTTGCAGAGCACTGGTTGTGTGCCTCAGACTGCATAGTCCGTACAGGTTTAAACTCAATTTTAATCCTCTCAAGAAACTCTATGACATAGTTTTATAACAAAGAAACCGGCCGAAGGGTTAACTGGCTTACCTGAGCTGAAAAATGGTGGAAACAGGTTGAGATCACAGGCACCTTGGCACCCAGCTCAGGCTCCTCACCACCACACTAGACTGCCCCTCGGGAACGAAGAGTTCTTTCAGAGGTGGAGAAGCAGAGCAAGCTCTTGAGCCTGCCTCCTGAAGCCCTGCGTTTGCTTTCCCTTTCAGCTCCAAGACTGCCCTGCGCATTGGGAGCAGCGATACCCAGGTGGATGAAGTGAAGTCAGTACCAGCCAGAAGCCACCTGGTGAGCCACCTCACCTGCCCCATGTGCAGCCGGCTGCGCCTGCACTCATTCATGCTGCCCTGCAACCACAGCCTGTGCGAGAAGTGCCTGCGCCAGCTGCAGAAGCACGCCGAGGTCACCGAGAACTTCTTCATCCTCATCTGCCCAGTGTGCGACCGTTCGCACTGCATGCCTTACAGCAACAAGATGCAGCTGCCGGAGAACTACCTGCGAGGGCGCCTCACCAAGCGCTACATGCAGCAGCACGGCTACCTCAAGTGGCGCTTTGACCGCTCCTCCGGGCCCATCCTCTGCCAGGTCTGCCGCAACAGGCGCATCGCTTACAAGCGCTGCATCACCTGCCGCCTCAACCTGTGCAACGACTGCCTCAACGCCTTCCACTCGGACGTGGCCATGCAAGACCACATCTTTGTGGACACCAGCGTCGAGGACCAGGACGAGAAGATATGCATCCACCACCCATCCAGCCGCATCATCGAGTACTGCTGCAATGACAACGAATTGCTCTGCACCTTCTGCAAGGTCTCTTTCCACAATGGCCACGACACCGTCAGCCTCATCGACGCCTGCTCCGAGAGGGCCGCCGCACTCTTCAGCGCCATCGCCAAGTACAAAGCAGGTCCTCCCCTTATCCTCTCCTTAGCCTAACTCCTAGCTTAGGAACACCTGGGGAAGATGGCGTGGGCCAATCTGTTCACTGAGTGCCTTAACA